GGGGGGGGGGGGGGGGGGCAGCGCTCGGCTTTGCGGAGGCTGCTGCGACCGTTTCGTGGTATTAAGTACGCTTTTTTTGTTGCTGTTGTTTTTTTAGGTTTTGTCATCGCCACAAGCCGGGCTTCCCCCACCCACCTGCGGGACAGGATGGCAGTGGCTCAGCCCAAAGCGAAGCAGCTGTACCTGCAGTTTGCTCTTACCGGGACAGAGTGTGGCTTCTCTGTCTGCAATATTCATCAAAAGCCAAAGGCACTGCAGATTTGTCTGGCAGGCCGGGTACCTTTCTCCAGGCGATGATAGGAAAGGGGTCTCCCGCAGCAGCACAAGGAATCAACAGCTCCCTCCCTGCCTCCTGTCTGTACTCCCAGCCTGGTAGCACCGTGAAATAGGGGGGGTCCTGCAGCCAAGGGAAAAGGCAAGGAGCGTCAGCCCACGCCGCACGCCAGCGCCCCTCGCTCCTGGCTCGGCGGCTCCCACCTCGAGTAACCCGTGCCGTGGGCGAGCCGGTTCCCCCAGCCCAAAACGCGCCCCTTGCGAGACAACTAAATCGTCGGCTTGGGTAAAGGGCAGGTGTTGTAGGACAGCATGCATTACCGGAGCTTTACGTCACACCAAACCATACGCTCTGGAGGGGAAGTTTTCTGGGAAGAGCCGCTCGGCTAGGGCTTATTTAAATTTTGAGGAGGTAAACAGGAAAAAACCACCCACATCGCATCAGACAGCAAGGTGATTTAATCAAATCCACAAACGTTTTAGCAGATGCGTGTGAGGTTTACAAAGCTTTATCATGTGAATCTCAGCAATAAAACATTAATCACCGCCGCTCGCGAGCGTGTGTCTTTTTGTTCGGGGAACAAAGGCAGCAGCTCCTGCCCAACAGCGCTGATCACCATCACCCCCGCGGCGGGCAGCCCCGTGTGCCTCGAGCCAAGCATTCCCCCGAAAGCCCAGCCTGAGCCTCCAGAGCTTAAATCACACAGTTACCCACATCCTCCACTAACCCAAGCCCAGGTCAGCAAGGCTAAACATTTTGTTGGCCAAAAAGCGCTGCGGGGGATGCGAGTGGCATTTCCTCAAACTCGCCCTGGCCCAGTACTGAAGCCTTGGGCTCACCGGCACGAATGCCCAAGGCAGGACATACCCCCCTGCCTGGTCTGGGTAGGGTTTCGTAAGCTCGCTCCTACAGCCCTTAACCGTTGCCTGCAGGTGCACTTCTTCCAAAGGAAGCTCTTTACCCCCCCACCCAAACCACAGCTTCTTCACAGCAAGCCCTGCAAGGCAGCTTAGCCTGGCTGACCCCCTCCAGCCCCACTGCAAACCCAGCTGCCAGGAGCAGACCGCCTGCTCGGCCGACCGTTTTCGGCAGGCCTTTACGGCATTCAGAGGTGCGACTGCAGCACAGGTAGGCTTTCCCACACTTGCTCTAGCGCAGCTAAAAATAGCACCAAGGATGCAGCAGCAGAGGCTTGAGCGCCAGCCATTTTTTTACGGCGGCGGGCTCACCCAGGCCCGCGCTGCGCCGCACCGCCGCTGCTCCGCGGCATTTTGAGCTGCTCTAGAGTCCGGTCAGAAAGGGTTTTGCCTGTCCATGCGGCGAGCACACCTCCGAGCGCAGCACAGACCCAGCTTCGCGCTCGAGCTCCTGCTGTTCCCTTTGCAAGGGGGCTCGAGGTCCTGCGTTTGTCTTTCTCAGCACAGATAAGAGAGACAAGGCTCACAGGGAAAGGCAACAGGTTTTTATTGAGCTGAGTCACGGAGGTGGAAAAAACGGACAAGTTCTGGGGCACATAAGCCCTTCTTCATAAGCACTTGGAGAAACAAAGTAAAATCTCAAATTCTCCACGAAATTAGAAAATTAAGTAAGTAGCATGAAAAAAATTAACCATTGACAGTACTGTACTGAATAGGAAGCCAGAACTAGCGACATGCACATATTAAAACTCACGTTTAATAAAAACCCTAACTACAAAGTAAGCTGCTTTGGCGGCTGCAGAGCAAGGATTTTACCAGGAACATTACCTTCAGTACCAGTCGGGCAGGGGGAGACTGGCCCATCGTACCCAGGGCGTTATAAGGCACACAGGTGTAAGTGCCGAGAGCGTCTTCGGTTGCCTCCTCTATTCGGATTGACCCATCTTCCAGCAGGTTCCAGCCAGCATACTACAGCGGTAAGAGAAACCGAGTTGACATGCATCCAGCACACACAACAGTTCATTTTTCTTTCAGACAACCTCAACATCCTAGGCCCAAGCACATCTCTGGGAGGTGCCCAAATCCTTTCCAAGTGTCAAGTTCAATTCCCAACGTCCAACCCATCTCCAAGTCAGCTCAGCTGCGTAAAGAGGTGAAAAAGCAGGCACGACCAAGCTGTCCAAATGCAGACCTCGTGCAGCGAGGAAGTCTCCATCTCAGCTCTGCGTCTAGACTCCTTTTCTAGTTAAGGAGGAGAAATAGGTACACCTAGGCTGTGATTCATCCCACCCAGAGGTAAATGTCTCAGCTGAAAGGGAAAACTGCTTCCTGGAAGCAATTCTCTTCCCATTGACTGCAAGAGCCGCCTAGGAGACTAGACCTCAATACAGACATCAACGCTGAAGAGGTCTAAAATTAGGCGAGACAAATCCCACCCACGGAGTCTGCACCGAGCGCGACATCTGCCAAGCTCGGCATCAGCCTCGCGCAGGGGACAAGCTCGAGCAAACGCCCCGCAGCCACGTCAGCGGGGAAGGCAAGAGCAGGAGACGCGGCGCCTGCCACGAGGGTGGAGCAGAGCCCTCGTCCACCCCACTCCTCCCCGTGGGGCTCGGAGACTTCCCAGGAAGGATTTTTTTTCCCTGCATCCAAGGGGATTTCGGGCACTCAGCTTGAGTCACCTCACACACTCCCACATGTAAGGGCCCGGACACCTCCCTGTGCCACCGTTCACCCTGCTGCGACCTTCCTCCACGTATATGGTCAGGCTTCTTTGAGTAGCCCAGAAGATTTCAACAGAGTCTGCTATATTCCAGGTAAAATGCATGCCTAAAGCCCCTAAACCTTTTTATGAAAGGTCTCGTGTGCTGCATACCCCACTCCTGTTTCCTAAAAATCCAAGAGCTCTGCAAAGAGCGAGCCACGTGTCGAGACCTTCCAAGGCAAGGCTCGGCTCCTGCTCTGCTACATCCCTGCCAGAGGGAAAAGCAGCGCAGCTGGTGCCCCACCAGCCCCAGGGAGAGGTCAAGGACTAGCAGCCCCACCAACACAGAAGCCCTCTGAGCCCGGTGGGCCAGCAGCACCAAGGATACAACCCCATTACTCCACGGCCCCAGCCACTGGAGACCAGAAACCGGCAGCAGCAACAGGTTTAAACTTTAAAGATCTAAAGTTTTCATTAACAAAAAATTCTAAATAGTGAGTATTTGCTTTAAATATTTAACATCTAATATCCTTGCTCAGACTATTAAATCATGATTGTAGGAAGATGAAGACTTTAAGAGGGTCTTTTAACCATTAGCTGCTCCTGGAAAAAAAAAAAAGAGGGCCACCAAAAAGGTTACTTTATAGGGAAGCAGGCATCAGGTTTGGGAGATGCAGACAGTGTCTGCAGGAGCCCCGGGCTCCACTAAAGAATCTAAATTAACTCAGTTCAAAGCTGCATTAGCACAAGCAGGGTCATCACGCCCACCTTTTTTTTTCCTCTCCTGATGGGAAGGCTGGATCTGCAGAGTTCAAGTGGTGCTCAGCAAGACTGGCAGAGGCAGGGGAGCGCGCGCGCAGTATCAACCCCTCCGGGCAGTGCAAACACCTCCTTTCCCAAGAGGGCCATGTAGTCTTTTCCCCCCAGGGGCTTCTTTACCTTTTCGACTCGCAGGGGACGTCCGTCTTTGTTCCACTTGACCAGAGTGACCGGCGGCTCTGCCTCAACCGGACAGCGGATGTATCCGTGTATCCCGATGGGAATATAAATGACGGGGGGCATATTCACCACGCGGGCAGGATCTGGGAGAGCAGCACCAAGTTACCACTGGGCAGGAGCCCTAGCCTCCTCCTCCCCGCAACATCGAAGCATGTGCTCTTGGCACACCTCACCCGGGGTTGAGAGGGTTCAGCGCCACTTTTGTAACGAGTTCAAAATCCAAACACTATCCTGGCTCCTAAAGGCCATTATCTTCAGGCTTCCTACATGCTCCAGGATCCACTGTAAGACCTGGCACTTCTGGGAGGCTTTAATCCTACCCAGCGTGCTCCCGCCCAGGGCTCATTAAAAGCTGCATTTAGAAAGAGGTGCTAAGAACGTGTGCTCCCACATCCACAGCGACTTGCCCCCCCTCCTGCAAGAGCCCAGCTCTGCTCCTTCGCACGTGGCCACAGGGGCCTGCAAGCTGCGACCCTTCTGTCGAAGGGGCAACGAGCCTCGCGTGCGGGGCTGGCGAGAGCCGACCGCCAGCACGGGCTGCAGGGTCTGACATCCCAGGCGGAGGAAGTGAGGTGAAACCCAAAGATGGGAAACCCACCCATGGGCCCTTCACCTTATTTTCGCACGCTAGAGGGAAAAGACTGCAGGGAAAGCCTGAAAGAAGGCAGGGTCTACCCCTTTCTTAACAATAAGGCATCGATTCCACTCTCTGCTTGTAGCAGAAGCAACTTAAATGCAATAACAGCGAGCAACTAAAAATCATTCTAATACCAAGAGTCTTAAAACATACCCACGGCAGCACGCGAGAACCGACGCGGGACCTGCAGTCAGGCTGCCTCGCACTGTTTACCTCCTCTGTTTGTACTCACGCCCCATGCCTAATCGAGGCTGGGTTGCGTTGCAAATCAGCCACCTCCACCCTTACAAAGGGGATGCAAAAAGCTTCAAATATGTATCTAACCTCCCTAAGTTTCGCCGCCCACACAGTAAGATGTCTAGCAATCCTCCAGTCTAGAACTTGTCATTAACAGCACTTCTAAGAGCTTTTTAATTAAGTGTGAGTGGGTTGGAGGGAATCTAGACTTTCTTTAATAAGAAGCTTTTTTAAAAAAAAGTTACTTGTAATGAGAAGAGTGAGTATTTCTACAATCTTGTCTAGACACCAACAGCACTAGGCTACGAGAAAATCCAAGCGGGGTTTATGCTACATTAAGGACGCAAATCACCAGTTTGCAGCGGGTGAAGCAATCCTGCGCTGGCGCAAAACCACAAAGCTCAGGGGAGAGGTGAATCCCGGGTCCATCCTCTGGAAGGGATGGATGCGGCACAGCGTGGCTGGGGGTAGAACCTGGGGCGTGAGAAAAGTTTCGTTCCATGATTAATAGGAACGCAGAAAAGTCAATGAGAAAATTAATTATGATCTTCCCAGCGTAAGAGGGGGTTTAGATCCGCCATGCGCCTTCCTCCCAGCTCCGACTTGACCAAAGCCTGACTGGGGAGAGCAGGACATCTTCCTTCCAAAGCATCAGCCCCAGTAAAGGTTTCCCTACGGGAAGCAAGTTTACGGGCGCAGAAAGCCAAGCATGCCTTGCGGCTTTAACAAAGACTAGCGGGGCCCGTCTGAAAAGCAGATTGCCCCAACCCCATTACTCCTGCCATCTAGAGCTATTCTTAACAGCCACGAGCATTGGCAAGAGGTCCTGGATTAGCAGCAGGGCACATTTAACAGTCTGGGACTACGTGCTTTCCGGGGAGCTGAGAGCAGCCCAGCTGCATGCGTTAACAGTGCCGGATCAGGCATCTTCCCCAGCACCCCTTCTGCTGCCCATCATCGCGCTCCTAAGGAAAGCCACAGACTTGGGAGTCCTTCTCGTAGCGACTCCCTGCTGACGGGGGGTTTTTCGTTAACGCACGTTTACCAGTGGCGGGTCTGCGCTTGCAAGCTGTAAGGTCTCCAAAACAGAATTTCAAGCCCAGTTTGCTCAAGCCTATCTCTCATTATAAAATAAAAATGCTACAATGTTTCATAGCAGAGCAACATCGCAATTGCAAAACGTAGCAATTTAGACCATTACTGTTGAATGCTCTAGGACGTTCAGGGCACACTACATATTAAAGCACAGGGAGCCTGAAAGAACAAGTGTGGGAAGAAATACTCCATTTAGAGTCTGTTCTCCTTGATTTGTTTAGATCAGTTACTGCCCAAAAACATTACGTGTAAAGCTATAAATGCACAGAGAACCACGCCACAGGAACTGGCTTCAATAACAAATACTGACAAATCTAAGCAGGTATGTGATACTAAGAGCCCTGATCTGGTATTTCCATGCCCAGCAAGAGGCAGCTGATGAGGAAAGCCTGCTGTGAGCATCCGCTGCCACCGGTGGGCAGCTCACACGCTCAGCCTGGAGAGCTCTATCAGCAAGAGCAAGATGCTCACCTAATCACGTTAAGAGGAGAGCAACCACTTCCATCAAAGGTGAAGACTGACAGCAGTCAAGCTGCACTATCCGTGACAACGTGACGTGCCCAGTCATTCAGGCCACGCAGGTTGCCAAGCGCGTATAGGACGCTCTCACCCTTTTGCCCTAGCGTACGTGATGGGACAAAGCCCAAGGGGCTATTTGCATGAGATTTGGAGAACTCCTCCTCCTGGCAGCTGGTGAGATCCCCCTGGCTGTAGGGCACAGCTGGACCTAACCACGTGCCCCGGGGCACCCAGAAGGGAAGAGCACCCCGCAGCCTGCAGTAAGCACCCAGGCCAGGAGGGGACGTCCCCCCAGATACCTGCTGTGCACTGCAGGGAGCCACCATCTCAGAGGCACCCCGCCAGGCGCCAACAGTCCCAGGTCCTCAGCGCATCGACCGCCTGACGCGACAGGCCGAACGCTGGGTGCCACTGCATCAAGCGGAAAAATTAACCCAGAAACACTGCCAAGCCTCCCATCTCTCAGCAGACCCAATAATCCAGTGTGATTTGATGCCTATCCCAAGGCTGCCGCTGCATCAGCCTGAACCTCCCGGTCTCCCTGCACGTCATACTGGGCTGGCAGTACGATTATCCGACCCGGGTGCCTCCCGCTGCGCATGACGGTCCATCAGGAGCCTGTGCCTCCAGTCTCGGCCCTACTGTCTCCACTCACACTGCACTGTCAGGTAGGCAGAGGCTGATGGCGAGCGGCCGAGGCTGTTGCTGGGGATACAGGTATATTTTCCAGCATCCTCTGGTTTGACCCGGAAAATGATCAGCGTCCCATCGATCAGGATCCGGACCCTCAGCTTCAGGTCACTGTGAAAGAGGAGGGAATGAGAAAAGAAAGGGAAGAAGGTGGAGGGAGAAAAACGGAGATGCAAAAGTACAATTCCTACCCCATCTGCAGCAGGGAGCGAGGGCTGCCCCGTGCGATTTGGGACCAGACAAGGACACATGATCCCGCTTGGGCTGAGAGGCACCTCAAGGAGGAGGAAGCAGCCAGCGCTGGGAGGCAGCAGGCTCAGCACCCAGCAGGATCGACCCAGGCGGGCCAGCCCTGAACTTACTTCTTGAAGTAGACGTTCTCCTCCTCCCAGTACCACAGGTAGGTGAGGTTGCCGGGGTACGCCTCGGCCTGGCAGGTGAACAGCGCATCCTGGGAGATGTTGACAGTGATGTTCTCCGGAGGGGAAACGATGAAGGGCGGTCCTGGGGGCGGACAGCAAAGTCACCTCCGCCGCTACGAGGGGAGCCGCGAGCTCCAGGCAGCCTCCCGGCGAGGGGCACGTCCTCGCTCGCACCCTCGGCCGCTCAGGTCACGGCCTTGCTGCTCCCTCCAGCTTACGGACGGAGCCCACCGAGGACCCCGTGGGAGGGAGGGATTACGGGGAGCCAGGGCGGTCCTCGAGGAGCACAGCAGCCCTTTCCTTCGCAGCGGGTGAAGCTCTTTTTCCCCCCCCTTCCACTCCTGCAGGCTACGGGAGGGAGCCCTGCATCTATAACCACCAGCTCTGCCTCGTCTCCCAGGGCGGACGGCTAACACGTTTCTTAACCCGGAGCACGCGTCCGGGACTGCACAGCCTGCGGGATACATCCCGGGGACAGCAGCACGCCGCTGGGCCGGAGGGGCCAACCAGCAAGCGTTCGCAGCTCACCTCCTCGACGGAGGGCAGAGCACTAGCACAGGACACCCCGCGCGCCTCTCTGCTGGTAGACGTTGACCTAATTAGAGACTTGTTTAATGAAAGAGGGACCCAAGCCCCAAGGAGCAGGAGAGCCGCCGTGTGTCGCTGCTATCTGACAAGGCGCTTGGTGACGGTCTCAATCTTTCCTCCGCTTCCCAAACAAAACCGAGGCGCAATCAGAGCCCGGCTGTTAATCAGCACAGCTGCTTAATCAACATGACAGCCCATCCGCCGGGGTGCCCCAATTAAGTGGATTTCTGTCCTATAAACAGGAGGCAGAGCCATCGGGCACCAGATGTAAGCCACGCTGCCCTCGCAGAGCCCGCAGCGGTGGCAGGTCCCCGCAGGGCAACGTCACGGCCGCGGCGCTCGCCATCCGGGCCC